GGGGGGGGGGGGGGGGGAGGGTGGATGCTGTGTACAGAGAGGTTGACTTTTCTAGTCACTACAACTGATTCCGTTAAGACTGCCTAACGACACGCATCGCCATTCGTCACCTCCGCTAGATGGCACCTTCCATCACTTCACCGCACACATCGCTACCCACGGCTTAATGCGCCCATGCCATGCATAATCTTTTCCATCTATGTCAATTGATCTATATGAATGTCCTCGAGAAGGGGAACGAGAAGTAGGGGCACATGTCTTCTGCTGAGTCCGCGTCGTACCTGTCTGGATCGACCGCATGCAGCATGAAGACTCGAATGAAAACCACAAATGCGCTGGTACTGCACACATCACAGACAGGCAAATGTGAAACGAAGGTATCACGTGAACAGGAGTCTGTTCGTTAATCGTTTCTAACATTCCGATAAACCCCAGGAGGCAGGTAAGTATTGAGGCCTTCACGACACCTGGCCTCTGAGCACAGCAGCGGCAGGTTACTGATCCGGACCATCCAGAGGACATGGACGGTCTCCAAAGCGCCCTCAACCACGAGCAGCACGACCAGTCCGGCGATGCCCATGAAGAAGCTGGCAAGAGACGCGTCTTTGTGCCATATCTGATCGGTGACCAGAACCATTAGATTGGTAAAGACCAAGGTCATCATTTCCGTCATCGACCATCTACGCAACACCACAAAAGCACACAAGGAGATTTCAGAAGCGGAGCGATTCGATGTTTGTCTCTTACAGTCTTATCTGGTCCGACAGCGCACGTTTATATCGGGGGCTGATTTCCAGCGAAGCAAATGCTGACTGCATGCTGGCAGCTTGGGCAAGAGAAGAGGTTGACCTGCTGAAGGTCTCACGCATGGAGAGCACTGTCGTGGTGATTGCTGTGCTTTGACATGTCGAAGAAGCATTTCCACTTCTCTTGCCAGAGGCCGCCTTGCCATGCTAACGGTTGCTCGTCACCGTGTCCTGCCGTGTCTCCATGAAGACGGCTGCGTCTCTAGTGCATCGACCAGACTTGAGAAATCTCCGCACGCCGAGATAGAGCACGATTCCTGGGGGAATTACGCAATCGTAGTACCACGTGAGAAAACATGAGTGGATCGATTTCTCTCTTTGCTCGAGAGGACCTACCGTAAGGAAGAAGTATGTCGGTGATGAGATCAAAGCTGATCGAGGAAGAGGCCACGGACGACAAGAGATATACGCGTTAGTTGTGGCTTCCAAACAGGCAGCTTACAATGCGATGGCCACCGAGTAGAGGAGTTTACTGCTTAGGCTCACCATCTTCCCCTGAATGAGCCTAGGTGTCAGCAGGTACGGCACCGCAGTCAACACAACCAAGAGTGAGCTCCAAATTGGCGGACCCTCCTGGAAAAGTGAATACAGACGCATAGCATCAGTAGCCATGGTCGAGAATCAAACCCATACACGCAGGGATCTGAGGATCTTGTTCGCAACGGAGACGACTGGCCACCCAAATACGACACTCTGCAAAGCAATTTGAGCCTAGCAGAGAGGACATACACGTGCACATGGAAAGATGCACATGGAAAGGTGCGTATAGCGTTCAAACCAATCCATCTCTTTACCCACTTACCCTGGCATAATCGTCTTCAGCTCTACTGCCTCGAGGCAGAAAGTATCTCATAGACAGCTTTCTCAACGCCATTAGACCGATGCAGGGTACCGCTCCCATCTTCAGCGCATAAGCGCGTTTCTTCGCAAAACCCAGTAATTTGGCGGCTTCGTAGAAAAGAGCCAAGGGAAAAAGAAAGTGAACCACCGTATATATACCGCCAAAAATGTATGCCTTCAAAGTAGGGCGCCACTGAAGGTGGTGGAGCATAGCATCCAGCAGATTAAGCGCCGTTAGAAATGCCACTAACAGCCAGAACTTGCGCAGCAGAGACATGTTACGGTGAAAGCTAGGTCCTTCGAGTGTTATTGCCAGTGCAAGAAACCAACAATAACAATGCACCAGCCGACGAATCACGTCAACTGCCGCACCCATTATCCTCGACTCGCAGCTGAACCAATACATAAGTAGCGTGCTGATTACTACGGCTGACACACACAAAGCGGCCGCCAGCTGCCGAAGCATCATCTTGCCAATCCGCTGCATGGTCGACCACAGAGGCTCGGGATTGAAGTGGGTACCAACGACCACCTCTCTTGTGCTGCCGTCGGGGCCACGAACGGTCTTATACTCTAACACAGTCGGAAACTCCTCGAAGTTAGCTTCGTATCCGGCAGACTCTCTGAACCTGCAGTGAGACAATCACATGGACAGCCAGTGTTGTTCGTTGTGTTGTGTCCCCCCACGTACTCAGCCACCGAGGCAGCTATCGCCTTCTCCTCCCGATGATGGATGCCGTCAGGGGCGCCCTCTCTGTCGGCCTCTGAAGCGTAACATTCCTTGCTGTAGTCGTCAATGGCAATCGCCGTTGTCGTGTGTGCCGTGGAAGTGGAGAGCATGGACCGATAGGGCGGGATGCGCCCATGGGCCGGCTCTGCTGTCGTCTGGACGCACTCACCAGCTGCCCCCTTATCTTGCTCCGAGTCGGTGTCATTCTCCCGATGGTCGCCCAGAGCATCCATCGTTTGCTGCTGTGGGAATCTGGTGTCGTCGCTCTCTTCTCCACACGAGGGCTCCATGATATCGCCACCCGATGGTGAAAGTCTCGTGATTCCACATTCTGGCGACAGAGGACAAGGAAGACAGGTCGAAGGCTGCATCTTGGCGCGGAGAATCAGATCGTGCCAATGAAAGAAGACGCTTGGCCCCCCCGGGCCCCCGGGGGGCCCGCGATTTGGGGGCTCGCCCTTAGCTCGCCCTGGAAGACCGATGTTTCTTTTCGGCTCCACTGTGCGGCGGTCCTCTCCAGCCGCTGATTCCATCGGCCGCCCCTCTGCATTGGCGCCAACTCGCCACTCTTCAGCGGCAGCCATTCGAGGCGCTGTCCGGGTGGACGAGGGTCTCTGGCTGGGCGATGGGGCGTGCCACAATGAGGACTGGCTGTCAGACAAGAGGGTGACGCGCGTCGTCAACTGCGGGTCGTGGTCTGCACAGCTCAAGGAGCGATTCGAGACTGTTGAGTACTTCCCCATGGCCAGTTTCGCTGACCATGCTTCAGGGGTAAGCGAAGGGAAGAGATGAATGCAGCCGGCCGCTGCATTCATGTCCTTGTGCCTTTATTGACTGCTGCATACAGGCCGGTCATTTTGAGGAGGAAGACGGCCGGCTGATGGAGATGGCTGAATGGGTGATGGAGGGGCTGCGTCAGGGGGAGGGAGTTTTGGTGGGCTCACAGCTCGGCCGCAGTGAGGCTGTCGCGGCCATGGTCGCAGTGATCATGATCAAGTGGGCAGCCCCCGTAGCAAGAACCAAAGGAGACACTGGAAGAGACACCTTTCTGTTCTCCCGTCTCCGATTCTTGCAGGAATAAGAAGCCTTTGTCGAGCGCGATAGCCCATGTGCGTCGGGCTGTCGAGGCCAAGGACGGGGCCATTTTCTTTCTGTCTGAGGGCTGCGAGCAGCGCCTGCGTGGCTTCATCTCGCGGCAGGGTGAGCAGAACCGGAAAAGGGCAACACAGAGATGCCTTTCTCGGTCTCTTTGGGTTTCAGTGAAGAAGGGCCTGAGTGGCGCCTTCAATCTCACGCCATCGGAGAAGTCAAACACATCGGAAACCCAACAGGTCAGTGATGACACTATATCATTCCATTTGTCCCCTGTCTGCATTTCCTTTCTGCACACGCAGGCGGCGGAGTCGGCCCACCTGGCTCCTCTCCGCAGCCACCGAGTGATGTTTGGAGTCCACAACAGCATCTCCGACGACCTGCAGGACGGGTACACGATGATGCCCTCCTCTGCCTCCCCATTCGCCACCGAGAGTGAGGGCGTGGGCGGAGGGCTGTCGAACCCTCCAACTCAACGAGGAGACATCGTCCGGCAGCAAGGGCCGTCAGCATATGACAGCCGCTGCCGGCAGTCCACACAAGACGACACGACCGTCGCCGAACCCCTGCCCATGCCCGAGTATCGTCCCGAGCCGTGGACACTGGCGCGATTCTTCTGCGAGTTTTGCACAGCGTCGGTGCTGTTCTGTGGCGCACTCGAGGAGCCCACCACCCTCGACTCCCACGACCTGGTCTTCGACCGACGGCCGTCCATCGATCCTGTGGGGGTGGGTGACTCAGATCGGCCGGTGGGGCACGACCAGGAGGACGAGGAGGGCAGCGGGCTGGTGGACGAGGCGAAGCCCCTGCTTACGCCCACGCGGGAGGGGACTCGGGGGGGACTTTTTGCCGATGACGACATCTGAGTGAGATATGTGAGTGAGTGCGTGAATGAGTGTGTGAGAGACATCTGCGGAGCTTGTATAGGCGGACGGACAGACGGAGGAAGGACTGATAGACGCCTCCATGCGTGTCTTTTGCAAAGCCTTGAATACGGTCTGTCTGTGTGTCTCTTTGGATGCACTCACCCCCTCACTCACTGCATGCTCTTGCACGCCAACCTCCTATGTTATGTCTACATCATGATCGCAGGCACACACGCACCCCACTCACATCTTAGCTACTATGCACTCACACACGCACACGCAGACACTCATCCATCCATCCATTCACCGGCGAGGATTGCAACACGCCAACCTCTGGCAGCACGATGACGACGCTGGCTGGTCGCCACAGTAGGAAGAGGACGACCCGCCATCTCTCACACTCTCCATCGGGTCAGTGGCAAACAGCCCACACAGACTGCCCAGAGTCCGCACGCACGAGCTGCGGCCGTCACTTCCACTGGCACAAGACTCCTTGGTGCGCCTCCTCCTCTCATAAAGATGCTCCTCTGCCCCCTCTCGGGTATGCAAGTACGGCGGGGGTGTCAAGGACCTCATCATTCCCACGCCCGCTCCCATCTGGCCGATGGGCAGCGTCACTCGTGTCATGGGCGGCGCTGCGGACGTCTCTCTCCTCTCGGGGGCCGGTCGCACGCGGACATCTGTTCGTGTGGGCAGTGTATGTGACGGCGGGGGCGGCGGGGTGAGGCCGACAGCCTCAGGGAGGGGAGTGGTCATCACGCCTTGGCTGGGAAGACGGGGCACAGAACGAGAAGGCGCTGCAGACACACAATGAGACAGAGACATACGAGCTATTCGTGCCATTGTGTCGTCTCTCTCTTCCATCCAGCTCACCCATCGACGCACCGCCGAGCGTCACACGTGCAGGAGCACCACAAGCAGCTCTCACATGGGCAATCGGCGGCGTGAGGGTGATGGGCGGCGGACTCATTGGGTCATACACCATGCGGGCGACCCTCGGTTTCTCGGGAGACGATGGCGGCGCCTTCGGCCTGTGCTTGCGGCCTGGCTTCTCCAACACTCGCTTCGGGGGCGTTCTGTCCACCTGCAGGAGGACTGATGGGTAGGGATGAGAGGATGTGACGCATGTCTCGCGGAGTGCCGTGGAGCTGATGAGGGTGTGCCGGTGAATCAATGCGGGGTCAGGGAGGCCGTGCTCGAGGGACAAGTCGGGAAGAGCGATCTGTGAGAGAGAGGAGAGAACGGAACGGAGAAAGTGGTCGCGGCGATCGGGCGAGTGGAGAATAATCATTTCTTCCCACCACATTCGTCGCTCTGGGCACATGGTAGTGTCTCGTCCCACCGACGACAGACGGCATCGTGCCCACACCTGGGGGTGTGGCGACATAGGGTTGACTGCGCATTGGGCCGTGGGGCACAGTAAAATGGGGGTGGGGGTACTGGCCTTCCAGCCATGGCTTGGTGTGCGTGAACGGGTAAGGCGGAATGCTCTGCGCCCGATCCGGAACGCTGTAGTAAGGCACTGACCTGGCGCCTTCAGCACCCTGATCAAAGAGCAAAGACGTCTTCCATCTTCACTAGCGTGTCTGTCTCAGCACATTGTGGCTGATTTACCTGTTCTTTCCAGTCGTATGACGGCCAGGCTCCCGGGGGCGTGTGCATCCCACCTGCGGCAGCAGTAGGGGGCGGCCCACCTCTGGGGTATGGCCACCTCCAGCCCTCACTCTCCCCCTCTTCCTCTTCGTCACGGGGCAGCGCAGGCACACCGCCCATGCCGTGTGTCACATCATGGGTCCGACGCAGCATCTCAGTCAAATTTGGGACATGAACACCAATGGTCGTCCATACATCGCCGAGACGCCCTGCAGCGCTCTTCGGCCGACCAGCCGCAGCCGCCAACCTTTTCGCAATCGCCGCCCTCTTGGCTGCTCCCGTTGCTCCCCTGCCTACTCCTGAGACCCCAGGGGCGCGTGACCTGCCCCTAGCCCGCTCCCGCTCCTCATCTCTGGCCTGCTTGAGCAGCCGTCTCATTTTGCGCTTCTCCTTCACCTCTTGTGGTGTGACCGCTTTGGGCGGATACTGGGGATGTCTGGACGTCGGCTTGAAGGGCTGCTTCTCCTTCTCCTCCTCTGGTTTTGAGACGGTCTCGGAAGACTTCTGTGTGCTCTCTCGGCTGCCGAGCCGCATTGGTGGGGAGGTGACGCCCGACGGCTCGATGAGCTCGAAGCTCCGGCGCAGGAAGGAGTCGGACGGCCGCCGCTTGTATGCGTACTGGTTGTAGGCGCTGACGGTGTTGAGACGCTCGGGCATGCCCTCCCATGACGCCTGAACAAACCGGAATCACACCCATTGATGGATGGAGGGATAGCACGGCGCTTCCTCTCTCTCTCTCTCTCTGTGTGTGTGTGTGTGTGTGTGTCTATCTCTGACCTACCTGTGCCTCGGCAGTTGCGCGTGCGAATGCTCCGGCGAGCCCATCGGCTCTGGTTGGCAAGGTCCGCACTGGTTGCCTTTTCGGCTTCGGCCTCACCATCACGCGGCCCCTGACATCCACTGGCTGCTTCTTGACGCCGTCGACAGACACATCCCTATCCCTGGGGAACCGACTGACCACTCTGCCCTTGGCCGCTGCGCGGGGTGTCGTGTCTCTAGCTGACCTTGTCGACCGTGCTGACCTGGCTGACCTGGCTGACCGAGCTGATCTGGCTGATCTGGCCGATGGCGTCCTTGAGGGTGGTCGCTCGCCTTCCTCTGCTGTCCTTGCAGCCGCTCTGCCCCTTCTTGCGGCCTCCTCCTTGTCTCTCTCCACGAGCAGCCCCCTAAGCCGTTCCTGGGCACTCGCGCCTCGCTGCAGCGCTGGACCCCCTGAGACACCCTTCTCTCTCTTTGCCTTGACAGTGCCACCGGGGGAGGTAACTGTCAAGCGCTCGACGGGCTTCGTGGGCGGCGTTGGGATGGCCTTGGGGCCGACTGAGGGAGAGTAGCGCGATGCGATGGCGCGCTTAGTCTCCTTTGCTTGTCCTCTCTCCTTTCTGGCTCTTTCGCGTTCCCCACCAGCAGCAGCACCAGCAGCAGTAGCAGCAGCATGCATCGGCGGCACTGAGACGGCATCTTTTTTCTTCCCTTTTACCCGTTCAGCATCAGCCGGCGGCAGCGAGACAGCGCCCTCCTTGTTGACTGCCGCTCGAACAGCGACCGCGGCGGCCTCCCGCGTCCCTGGGATGCGCTGGTCACGTGTTGCACGAGAGGGGGCAGCTTTGCGATCCTCTGCTGGCGGTCTTCTCTCCTTTCTTCCCTGAGCAGTAGTTGCAGCAGCAGCAGCTGTGGGTGGCGGGGTGATCGGTCGGGCCAGTGTTTCTCCTTGAGCAAAGGAGGGTGTCTTGACAAGTGGAACATGTCCAGCGGTCTTCGTGGGAACGGGCCGGCCTGGGCCGGGGGGAGTGGGTCTCTGAAGAATCGATGCATAACAGGCGGATAGATAACATGACGGATGTTGTGTCGCTTCTTTCGTTTCGCGCCATCACCTGCGGTGGGGCAGCTGCAGGTCTTGTTGGGGGCTGCTCGCGGTCAACTTTGGCCGCTTCCTTGACAGCCACCTTCACTTTCGTTGGCGGTGTCTTTGTGAGTGGCTCGCGATCTGCCTCGCCCGGCCCCTGTGCTGGTGACGCCTTCATCCCACCAGTCGGCTTTGGTATCCTAGTGGGGATGGCAGAAGCGGGCAGAGCGGGGGCCTGCACGTTACACATACAATCGAGCGTACTCTTAGCTGCAACTCACATCTATCTGACCGCCTCATTCCATTCGTGATCTGACCTGATCTTTGACCTCTCTTTTGGCCGCTGCTTTCTCTCTCCTCTCCTTGTCTTCGCGGCTGGGCGGAGTGACGTCTTTTCTCTCTTCCGGTGCCTCTTCCGTCTCCAGCTGTATGCCTCCCTCCAAAAAGTGTGGCGTCGATGGAGCCTGAGGCTCCTCCTCCATACCTTCGGCAGCTGCAGCTGCAGCCTCGCCACGGCCAGGGCCGCCCTCAGCCTCCCCGCCGGCAGCCCAGACTTCCTGTTCCTCGCCGTCATAGATGCCGAGATCTTGCATTTCCTCAGGAGTCAGCTGCGTGCGGAGAGAAGGCTTCACCGTGGTCTCGCCTGCCTGTTCTCCAGCGAAGGACTCAGCGCCCGCCGCCTCAAAATCAGCAGGAAGGCCTGTTTCTCCCTCCTGCTGGTACCCGTCAGCAGAAGCGGAAGGCCCAGTGACCTCCCTTTCCCCTTCCTGTCCGACCAGAACGCCGGCGACCTTGCCGGCCTCCTGTCTCCCTGCAAGGGCGGCGCCCTCCGTCTCATGATCTCTTTCGACACCAGCAATTATGTCCTCTTGCTCTTCTTCTGCGCCGGCAGCTTCCTCAAGTGGTTCCTGTCCTCGTGGGACGATGATGTCTTGATCCTCAGGTGGGGCCTGCTGCTCGTGACGCTCCGGTGCGAACTCGGGCACATCCTCTGCCCCCTCCACCTCTGCGGCAGGACGTCCTACTTCCTCCCATCCACCTGTCTCGGGCGGAACGGGATACGAAAACGACACAACGTCTTGAGGCCGTTCCTCCTCCTGCACGCCCTGCTCTTCCAAAGAGTCCCCGGCAGTAGGCCCCCCTTCGTAGCCGGCAGCTGCCTCCTGGGGTCCATAGGTGTCTTCTGAAGGCACAAGAGGCGGCACGTACAGTGCCTGCTCGGACGGCGGTCGGCGTATGCGACCGAGGTCCCGCTCCAGCCGATTCAGCTCATCTTCAACGTCTCGGAGATCCTCAGCCGCCTGCTGCTTGGCCGTCCTAGGGGCTGTGGGTGCTGCTGGGGCTGTTTGGATTGACACACCAGGAGGAAGGCCCGCAGATGACGGCAACTGAGCCTCCCTGGCCTCCTGTGATGGCTGCGACGATTCCTCCCCAGTTGGTTTGCCTTCGCCAATGCGGTGTTGGGTGCGGTTCTCAGTCGTGTCGTCTGCAGATGGCTGTTTGGCTATCTCTTGCTCTCTGTCTCCAGCTGCTTGAATGGTTGCGGTCTCTCCTTCTCCTACTTCCATCTCGATGCTTGCCCGTTGCACCAGTTGGGGCGCTGCGCCGAATGACGCAGTGCGGCCCGTCTTGATGGCCGCGTCGTCGTGCGGCCAGCCGCCAGCCATGGTGCTCTCCAGCCCTTCAGCCATGCCTTCACCTTGCTCCGATCTCACACCTTGACCACCCTCACCCTCCTCTTCTTGTGATGTCTCTGCTGCCCAAACTTGCTCTTGTGTTTCCATTTCCCTCCCAGCTGCAGCTGACTCCTCGCGCTGTGCTCTTTCCTCTGCAGACACCGACAGATTGCCTTCGGCTGCAGTTGCTGTGCCGGTAGCCCCTTTCGAGAACTGATGTCCTTCGGCAGATGCCGCCAACTCTTCCGGTGCTCCTGCACCCTCAGCCGTCTTTCCTCTGTGCTCTCCTTCTGCGTCCGCCCCAGTAAGCGCCGCCGACCGCCCACCCATTGAGGCTACGTCTTGTGTCAGCTTAGCCATCTGCTCCTCACCAGTCGACGCCTGCGGGCTTGGAGGTGTGGATGACAGACCCACACCAGCTGCAGCTCCAGCCCCAGCTGTCTCGTCCATGCCGCCCTCAATGCTGCCAAGCTGACTAGCCGAAGGTCCTTCTGCCGTCAGGCCGGCTTCCGTCAGGCCGGCTTGAGCAATAGCCGCTCCTTCTCCTTCTTGCGAGGGTCTCATCTGTATGTCAACTGATTCGCGTGACGTCCTCCTTTTGGCGTAGTGGTTGGCGATGCCCCGATCCTCGCGCACCTTAGCCTTCCGCTCCTCGATCTTCCGCTGTATGCGGGACTGCATGTCCTCCTCCGGCTCAGGCACCTCTCCCGCCTTTTGCTCTCGCGTCCCGTCGTCAAGTGCCGCAGCATAAGGCTCCCATGCCTCCAGCCGGTGACGCGGCCTCTCCTCTGTGGCTGTTGCGGCTGTTGCTGCTGCTGCTGCTGCTGCTGCGGGACCCTCAGCAGTGGTGGTCTCCTCCTCTTTCTCCTCCCTCTCTGTGACCCTGGTGACCAGTGATGACGCCTGCGATGTCTCCAAGCTGACGGCCTCTCCCCCTTCGGCTGCCCTCAGCCGCGTCAGGTCGGATGAGATCTCCGATGGCCGAGATGCATCATCGGAAGCAGGGGGTACCGATGCGAGCGATCGCGAGAAGTGGCCAATCGGCACGGTGTCAAACTCGGGACGGGACGCCCCAAATCGTGTGAGGCCGGGCAGTATGGTGCCTTCAGGGAAGGTGAACTGCGCGGCGAGTGGGGCGGAGACCATGGATGACTCGCTGGTGGCGGTGCGGGAGTCGGAGGATGTAAGCTCGTGAGACACGGTGTCCGATGGGCGCTGCGCCGCCTCATCAGACGGCCGCGGGGCAGCCGATGGCTCGGCAGGAGGCTGCTTGTCTTCTCTTGTCTCAGACACCCCTGAGGCAGATTCAGCAAAAACGGCAGCCTCTCCAGCCTCCTCACGTGTGTGCTTGGTGGTGGCCGCAAATTCTCCCGATCCCTTCTTGTGGACGTAGAGCACCCCGGAGTCGCTGAGATTCCCCGATCTGCTGGCCGTCTTGCTGCCCATGAACCTGACTGTCTCCGTGGAGCTCTCCCCCTCTGTGCTGCCCATGCTGGCCATCGGGGGTATCTGGAGCGACATGACGATGGGTGACTCGTCGCGGGCGGTGGCTGGGGCAGTGCGGGGGACGCCGTAGGTCGGGGAGACATCTGCTGTCTCGTGTGCTGCTGCTGCTGCTGGTGTCCTCTCCTCGGCTATCGTGGATGAGGCGATGGCTGAGGTCCTCCCGATGCCCACCATGCTGCCACCGCGACTTGGGGTGCGCTCCGTCATAGAACCCTGCACACACGCACATCAAGGCGACTGCGGATGGATGGGTGCTCCTGCCGTTCCTCATGACTGTACCCACCATGTATCCGAGTGCCTTGCGTCTCTCCCTCTCCAGCTCGATAGCCCTTGCAATCTTGTCGTCGATGGTCTTGGCCTCCACCTCTCTCTCAATGGTGTCGCGGGTGATGGTTTGCCGAATACGCGACTGAGGACTGGGACCCCCTGCAGCAGGCGAACCGCTCGGCTCGGAGGGTGCAAGACCTCCCGAGGTCTGCGAGAGAGGAAAATGCCACTTGGAATCGGTTCGCTTGGAAACGATGAGTGAGTAGACGCATGCACCTGAATGAGCAGTTGGCGGCCTCCGCTGGCCTCGAGGGATGAAGGACCAGCAGATTCCCTCCCTTCGGCCTGCACACAAAGAAAGGGACGGCAGACATTTGCTGGTCAATCAGTCACACTGCCGGCTGGCTGTGGCTGGCTGGCTGGCTGGCTGGCTGGCTGGCTCACGTCGGTGTCGCTGATGGAAGAGGCCGAGCCGATGGATTGGATGTGCCTTCTCCTCTCCTGCTCTATCTCGAGTGCCCTCTGCAGCCGCCCCTCCACTCCCCCCAGCTCACCCATACGCCTGTCCTGGTCGTCGCGGATCTGCTGCCGAAGCTGCTTACGCTGCACATCAGACATGCCAAACACGGTCCCCGTCTGCAGGCAGAAAGATCAAGGAAAGAGAGAAACAAAGAGGCAATCAATGTGTGACTGTCTCACACACCCGTCCGCTCGTCCGGCTGTCCCGTCTCGGCGGGTTCTCCTCTTCCGTGGGCTCCTCCGCGACGCTGAGAGTCACATTTCTCTGCTCTCTCCTGCGGACCTCGCTCTCGGTTGGGGAGGACTCGCTCGAGCTCGACGTCGACTGCTTCATCGTGAAGAGAAAGTCAGCTGATGATCACCGAGGCCGATTTCTCCAAGCTGTACGATCTCGGCGCGGCCTCAGGGGTGACTGCTTGCGAGACCGGTCAGTGCGGCGCGGAGGAAGCCTTTTGGCTCACAGCTCTAATGGGGGTCTCGACAAACGCCTTCCGCCGCGCGTTGCGGGTCTGCCGGTGATACGATTGGCAACGTCAAATTGCTCACACGGGTGAAAATGTACACTCCCTGGACGTTCTCTGTTCAATGGTGCATGCAGTCTCGCCCCCAGAGGAGCCCCCCGAGATCGCACGAACGCCAGGGAGCAAAGGGTGTGTCGTAAGGCACACGTGACGGCGAAAAATCGCAAATCTGTAGCGTTTCGGACCAGTACAGACAGATATCAGATCTCGGGATAGATACGCATCATACATCTGAAGGATCGCATCATTCCGACTTGGCCTTCTTGATGGGCCGGTAGTAGCCGATCACCTGCCCATGCATGACACACACGCACCACACCGAGACGGGCATGATGGTGTGTCTTGCTGTGCACGCGTGTGTGTCTGATACCTACCACAGCGTGGTCCCGATGGTATGGCTCGAGTGTGATCTGTTCTCTTGGCTTGCACTGGGCCTTCTTGAGTTTGTCCACCTCAGCTACATACATACACACAGGCACAGGCAGGGAGGGAGGGAACCGATAGGTGTGCTCTTTCTCCCTTGTGCAGTGCAGTGCAGTGCAGTGTGTATGTGTGTGCGTACCAGCAAACACGACCTCTGGCTTGGCAGTGGAGTCCACGCAGTTGGCCTGCAGGAATCCATAACATGACACACACACACACACACACATATCCATGGGCAGGATGGCTCCCTCAGCCCCTCCCCTCCACTACCCTGCCCTGCCCTGCCCACGTATTTCTGTCGTGTGTGTGTTGTGTGGGCGAGGTACCTTTATGGAGATGACGTAGCCTCCGCCCTCCTTCAGGAACATCTCGGCGTTCAGCGCCACAATGCGGGCCTGATCGTCCGTCCATCCACCGATGCACCAGACAAACAGACAGACAGACAGACAGACCGACAGACAGACAGACAGACAGAATCCATCAGAACATTTGCATTAGTGTGCCTGACTTCACCTGTTTCACCTACCGACCTGGTCGGGCTGTGCCACGTCGGCAAAGATGGCGTCGACCATTCCCACCAACATGCGGTACCTCAGTGGGAATCTCGCGTCCTCGACGATTGGAATGATGTTGGGCCGCTTCTTGGCCTGAGAGAGGGAGCACAAAGGCTAAACAGCGCTAGGCAGGTGTGTGTTGCTGTGTGCAGTGTTAGTGACGCCACTGACCATGTTGGTGAGGTCCCTCCCTGATCGGTGAGAGAACTCCACAGCGTACACCACACCGCTCTGACCGAAGGAAAGAAACAAAGTGAAGTGCGTCCAAGTGTCATGCGTGTCACGTGTGTGTTGGATGGGATGGCTGCAGGCAATTGGCTGACTGACCTCTCCAACCATATCCGACACATGCGAGACAGTCGTCCCCGACGCAGCACCTGCACGACGCACATACACGCCGAGGTAAGGTAACCAACCCGGGATCGATAGAAGACACACATCACATCGATAGGCTTGTTTCCTCCGTATGTACCCAGGTAGAGCACTTTGGAGCCGGGCTTGATGGGCATGTGCTCAACACCACCTGCACACACGGACACAGCACACACGCCACGCCATATGGCTACACTCAGTGTTTGTGAGCATGTGAAAGAATCTTCGTAGCTCACCGAGGATGGTCGCCCCAAGCTTGGACCGGAATGGATTCCACACACGGTACTCGATCTTCTCGCCTTCTTGCTGGCCACCCACAGCACAGACAGACACACAAGTCCACTTTGATCCAGGGAGGGAGGGAGCCATTTGTGCAGTGAGGGCGTCACCTCGACAGCCATTCTCTTCTCGCCGTAGACGGACTCGCCGGGCACGAGATTGCGCGTCACGAGGGCATCGGCCTTGCCCTTGGCCATGAACACGCCCGCATGTCTGTGCGGCTCTATGATGACGCTCCCCCCTCCCCCTCCCCTGCCGCCTGGTCCTCCCCTGCCGCCTCGCCCGCCACCACGACCGCCTCTCCCACGACCTGACACACACAAACACACAAACACAAGCACACATCGAGTGACATTCATGACGCAACACGCGGGAGCTTTTTGTGCCTCATTCTTTTCACCACCGGGTGATCCTCTCCCTCTGCCGCCGAAGCTCCCTCCTCTGCCTCCCCTGCCGCCTGGTCCTCCCCTGCCTCGCCCACCACGATCACCACCACCACGGCCGCGGCCGCCTCCACGCCCACCGCCTGACCTCACACATCAATCACACAATGGATGAATTGGTGGAGCAGATGGGCCTCAGCATGTTGTTGCTTACGCATCATCGTGAATCCCGCAGCGATGGACTCTCTACCGTTCCTGTGCAGTCGTGTGCTTCTGTTGCAGTCCAGATCACAGCCCTGTGTTTTTTTCTCCGTTCCTGCGAGCTTTGCCTATTTGCGAGCTTGAAAGCGGCGAAGGGGAAAAGGTGAAGACGCGGGTACCGTGCGACAATGGGGCGAGGCTCAGTGAGACTGCGGGTGATGCTTCTCAAGTTGACGCTTCTCGGGCTGTGGCCATCTCCCGCGTTGCACAAGGGATGGGCAGCAGCAGCCGTCCGTCAACCATCGCCGCACTCTGCTTATCTCCCCTCATCGCCTCGCCCACGACCGTCCTTGATCTCTCGCGTCCAGCAGCACGGCCTCCGAAGACGGCCACCATCCCGCCTTGCCATGATGAGCAAGAACGACATCACCGACAGGTTCATGTGGCAGGGAGAGAACATCCAGTTCGGCGTCGTGCGCACACTCGAGATCCCGGTCCCACTTGCCCTCCCTCCCACCTTCCCCGACTCAGCAGACGTGCAGGCCCTGGTCAGCCGGTACTTCGATGACCCAGGCCGCTTCCTCCGCGTGTTGTGGAACAAACGCTACTTGGAACACTTGGGTGGCGAACGGTGGCTCGTCGGCTTACCCAGGTGGGTGGGTGAGGTGACGACACACACGGCCGTACGGGGCCAGCCCGCCCACCCACCCGCAAGTCACTCTCTCTCTCTTTCTCTCTGTGTGCAGGCTGAAGTTCCTGAACGTGGCATTACCGTCCCCCGACATAGAGGTGTCTGTGTGGAAGGAGGGCGACTTTCTGCGTGTGACGAGTCACGGTGTGTCGTTCTCGAGGGAGGGTGGGGCGGCCAGCGGGCGGATGGAAAGCTTCAATGTGGAGGTTGATGGCTATTTGGATGCGGACGTGCAGTCCCCTGAAATGGCGGTCTTCAACGCTCAGATCGGTGAGGCAGCGCAGTGAGGGAGGAGCACACCACACCCATCGTCTGTCTGTCACTTGTGCTTGTTGGTTGGTGCATTGGTGCCAACAGGGTTCACGTGTTCCTCTCGGCTGCCGTCCTTCCTGCGCTTCACGCCTGAGGACATTATGCGGACGGGCGCCTCGGCCGTCAACCGGCAGATTCTCAACTTTGCCACACGGAAGCTTGAGAAATCGCTGCAGAAGGACTTCCTCATGTGGCTCGATCAAGAGACGCAAGAGCCGCAGGAGGCCGTTGCTGATGGCGACGTGACCCATGGGGAGGAGAAACAGGCAGCCCCATCTCTACCTCTCGCCCCTGCGTCTCTTGCTTCCACCACGTACGACGACCTGCCGCCTCGGCGTGCAGATGATGTTCTTGTGGCTGAGGAGGGCGTGGCAATCCCAACTTTTGACAGAGATGGAAGCAGCGACGCTGTTCCCGTCATGCCGATGTCAGACACTGTTCTTGCGTATGAGAGGCCACTGAGCGGCGAGCAGTGGGCCGACCTCAGTGTGCCCATTTCCTCCAGTGTGCGGCGCGTTCGGTCGAGAAGCCGGGTCAACATTGCCAACAGGGTGAGTGAGCTTGAGTCCCACCAAGACGCATTCACGCGCTCACACGTCTATCTATCGGAGCACTTCGGCTGTTTGGTTTGGTTGTTGTTTCTTTCAGGCGTTCCAATGGTCAGATTCATCGCCACGGTCGGATGCTGCGCGACGACCTGACACCTTGCTGGGCGGCGACTACGGAGATGATGACAGTGACGCCGATGGCATTAGTGTGGTGGATGTGACCATTGAGGAGGAGGAGACCCTCGCCGTCTACCTCAGGCGATGACCGATGATGTGCGGGGCGTGTATGCGGCTGCTCGTGTAAATGGGGTGGCTGCATAGTCAGCGAGATACAAGGTCTTCCCTTCTGCATGAGCTGGTCTTCCACACACACCGTCCATCCATCCATCCATCCCGCCTGCCTAGTCATTGCGCACATGTGTGGATACCATGAGTATGTATGTGTTTTCTGTGGTATATTGGTCAGGTGCCGCCATTTTTCCACGGCACGGCACCAGTCAGTGGCTGGCTGGACAACAGACAGACTAAAGATGAAGAGAGAGTAGCGACGGACGGAGAGGCGTGTCGTTTGACACGATTGACACCGTAGATAGGGGAATGTAGATGGATGGATGGATGCTGCTAGCATCCGTCCGTCTTGTGTGTACAGATTTTTGTCACCCTCATTGAATGGAATGGACGGCTGGCCTGTACAGGTTTTGCTAGCGGGACACTGACAACTAACTGGACGGGCAATGATCATGGGGGCGGGGCGGGAAGACGATGTGTATGTGTAAGTGTCCTGCCAAGGATCGAATTGTTCACACGTCATTCACCATCAGCTGGTGGATGTGCAGCCAGCCAGACAGACGTTTTTGTGTGTAGTCTCGTGTGCTGTTAGTGCGTGGTGTCTCAGCGATTTCAGCGATTTCGCTGCGTGTGCAGGATTGCGTGGGATAGATGGATGACTGGGTGGACACGACACCATCATGTGCTGCGTGTATGCCCAAAGGGCAAGACAGCTCCTCATAAAGTCAACAGACAGACACTGACATGAATGAATGGTATGCTCACGTGGTACACCCCTCCCAACACTCACTCACCACATCACCCAGCCATCCGTCAATCGGCAGCCTGCGCCTGCTTCTGTATTGCGAATATCCGCTCCTGCAGCCACGCCAGCGCCTTAGGCCACTCCTCGTCCCCATCCCCCTTCTTGACGTCCATGGCAAAACACTTGAGCCGCATCTGCACACTTCGCGGCAGGTTGTGCAGCCCCAGCTTGGCCGCCATCTCCTCAATCGTCGGCACCGGCTGCCCCACGGCCAAGCTGGCCGGGGCCTGCGACAGTGACAAAGTGCTCTGGAAAGCGACGGTTGAGTGCTGCCCGGCCCCCGGCATCATCGGGCGGCCGAAGGTGTTCATCAGCACGCAGAAGGCCGCCTCTCTGAGCTCGTCCTCATGCACGAGGATGCGGATGTGCTCGCCGGCCTGGCGGATCTTCTTGGGGTTCATTTCGACCATCGATACGACGAATATGACGGCGGAGACCTTGATGTAGCGGTAGAAGGCCGGCCAGAGGGCCTGCATGGCGTCTGCCCCCGGGACGTCCCACATGCCGAAGCGCATGCCCCGCTTGTTGAACTCCTCATAGTGGTAGCCCTTGGTCGGCGTGGGGATCTTCTGTGCTATGTCCTGCTCGGCCCACCCTGCAGACACGTGCACAAACAGGCATTGCCGGAGGCAGACACCCTTTCTTCCTCACACACACCTGGTATCTTGAGCTTGTAGAGGAGGGTGGTTTTGCCACTGCCGCTCAGCCCCAGGATGAGAATCTGGTGCAAATGATCACCGCCCGGCACGCAGTTCCCCATTGCCGTCTCCTCAACCCCCAGTCTCCCCCGCTTCGAGCTCGCACTGTGGTCTGGGATGGAGCTCCCGGCAGCGCTTATTGGCGTCTCCCTCTTGCAGCTCTTGCTGCCATCTGACGCATTTGTTAGTTACTCTCCGCATTCACTCAGAAGGTCACCGTACACAGACACCAAGATGCGTAGATCTGCCACTCCCTATGCGTGATCCATGCATCAATCATTCAGGCGGAATGCAGACACAAAGCGTCGGACTCCCCATCGAAGCGCCCTTCACGCATCTGCTGACACACACCCGGTGATCAATGGCTCTGAAAAAGGACACATCAAAGCGATGAATGACGGACGGGTGGCCATGTCTGCAGCCTCCACACGACCCCTATTGCGAGAGCGGTCCCCTTCTGAGAAACAACAAGGGCGAGCCATGGGTCGCTCAGCGCAACCGGCCTCGGCGCAACCGCAAGTCGGCTGTGATCCGGCGGATGGTGCAGGAGGCCATCGTGCGACCATCCAACTTCATCTACCCCCTCTTCATCCACGAAGGGGTAAGCACGACAACACAGACAGACAGACAGACAGACAGGCAGCCAAGACAGGCAGGCAGGCAGGAGGGAGGGAGCCAGGCACGTGTGTGTGTGTGGCTCGGTGGTGGTAGGAGTCTGATGAGGCGATAGCGTCGATGCCTGGGTGCAGTCGGCTGAGTGCTGGGTCGGTGCTCAAGGAGGTGGAGGACGCCATGCAGTATGGCGTCAAGACATTCATCCTCTTCCCGAAGATCCCCGACCAACTCAAGTCCAACTATGGTGAGTTTAGCGAGCCCACACGCCCCACAGTGTCATCCACAGACGCGGACATCTGTGTTTCGTCCCGTCAGCTGATGAGTGCTACAATCCAGAGGGTCTGGTGCCACGCACCGTGCGCGCAATCAAGGACAAGTTCCCCGAAGCCATGGTGTGCACTGACATCGCCCTGGACCCCTACTCGGACCAGGGGCACGACGGAGTGGTCGAGAACGGCCAAATACTCAACGACCACACCATTGCACAGCTCTGCAAACAGGTTGGCGAGGCGCACATTTTGTCAAACAACAAGTTGCCCTCACTTCCCGTCGTCCTTCAGGCAGCGTGCCAGGCCCGCGCCGGCAGTGACGTGGTCGCGCCCAGCGACATGATGGACGGCCGTGTGGGCGCCATCCGGGACGCACTCGACAGCGAGGGTCACATCACCACCTCCATCATGGCCTACACGGCCAAGTACGCGTCGGCCTTCTACGGCCCCTTTCGCGACGCTCTCGACTCGCACCCCGGCTTCGGCGACAAGAAGACCTACCAGCAGGACCCAGCCAACGGGCGGGAGGCACTCATCGAAACCGCGCTAGACGTGTCTGAGGGCGCGGACATCCTGATGGTCAAGCCAGGCATGCCCTACCTGGATGTGGTGCTGCGTCTGCGTGCGGCGACCGACCTGCCCGTGGCCGTGTACCACGTGTCTGGCGAGTACGCCATGCTCAGGGCGGCGAGCGAGCGGGGATGGCTGGACGAGAAGAAGAGCGTCATGGAGGCCATGACGTGCTTCAAGCGGGCGGGGGCCGACATCATCCTCACCTACTTTGCCAAGAATTGCGCGAAGTGGATTGCGCAGGATGGGGAGCCATGCTACTGACTGATGAGGGAACGATGAGGGGAGGCCGGCGACATAGGCAAGACAAACAGACGCGAGTGATTTTTCAATGAGCGAGGGGAGGGAGAGAGGAGAATGAATGGCATTCGCAATGCCAACCGATAGGTCGGTGTGATGAGGCGTTTTTGGTGGTTGGTCGGTTGATCTGTCGATTTGTCTGTGACGCGACTGTGGGGTCTTTTAAGAGTAGGCCGTTCACTTGTTCGGTGCTGGTGGGGAGGCCTGTGGATGGATGACTAGGTTGTCTCTTGCATGATGGCATGCATTCAGCGTGACTCGAGGACAGGCAGGTGGAGGTGGGGGGGATGATGAATGAATGACATCACGTACGAAGCGATGAACGTTAAGTCCATCAAGCAAGTCATCTCCAGTTAGATCATTGTACAACCAGGACGAGAGAGAAGCAGCACACAGCGTCACAAACGTTGACAACACGCAGATAGTATTGTCATCGACAGGTCTCATCAACAGCCGCACACAGAATGGCCTCGATAGGTCTGTCATTCATTGTGAGGGCGGCGTCGCCTGCTGCATGTTCTTCTCCTGGAACCTGGTCCCTATCCGTTGCGAGAAGGCCATGAACTTGGTCACGCACCGCTCGATGCACCCCGTTTCGGCCTTCTCGAGGTCCTTCGCGCGGAAGTGTGTGATGCACTCGTTGAAGCACCGCTCGACGAGGCCGTTGTATGTGTTGAGGGAGTCCTGCATCTGCATGTCGTTGAGCTTGCCCAGCACCTGCTGCTTCTGCCCTTCATTGAGGTGCTCCACATCCAACATGCTGAACAATGAAGAGAAGAAGCAACCAAAGAAAGGGTTGTGAGAAGGTCCACTTGGACCATTCCTCCGAAGCTTGCTTACTTCTGCATCTTGATCTCTAAGTCAGCTGACAGATCTCGGCTTGTCAAGGCAGATCTGGCCTGTAGAAGTCGATTGACGCACTCGGGATGATAGACTTACCCGTGCGAGCTTGGGGCACGCTGCAGTGGGGCCAGTTGCATCCCTTTGGTCGCAATGCTGGAGATGCTTATTTTAGGAGGACTGTCAGACGCCTCACTGGTGAGCCAACGCCGTGAAGAAACGCTTGAATCGACGAATCGGCGGGGTTCTTTGTGTGTGTGTGTGTGCGTGTGTGTGACCGTCTGTGTGTCTGTCGGCACGTGTGCAGAACTTTGGGATCACGGTGCTCTTCTGGATGAGTGTTGGCAACGTAATCGTCGTCCTGCCCCATCTGGAGGAGTGGATGAGGTCAAGGCCGCAGCCTGACGAGTGGTGAGCTAGCTGCCCATGAGCCACAAGAAGGTGATTCAGACGGGGCGTCCCTTTGCTTGGTCCATCGATATTTGCTGTCGATCCGCTTTGTCGATGAATGTCTGCCTTTCGCTTTGTGCCTTATCCGGGTCCGATCCAGAGAGCACCCGTGCATCCATCCATTCATTGTGATGATTCACGGAGAGGCTGCGGAGAGGCTCAAGAGAGCTAGCCCAGCACGCAGGGCGGTTGATTGCCCTCATCAATATTGATATCGTTTTGTCCCCCCACTGATTCGTTGACTCATTCATCGACTCATTCATTCACTTCCTGGCTATTCTCGAGTCTGTTTCAATGAGAAGGAGTCAGAACGTGTTACTGAGCAGACCCCTCCAGCACATGCGCTGATGAACAAGTGCTCTATAGTAGATGAGACATGAAGTGGTCAAGACACAATCCGAGCGAGACGTTCACACGAGCATTAGACGTTCAGGGCCAATGTCCAATCGCACACAGACAGACACCAACACATATACACGACGCATGCGTCCGTCCGTCCGTCCGTCCGTGAGGCCCTAGCTACCCAGCTGCCAGTTACGTCGATCTCTTATTGCGGTACGGGTGTCCTCTCCGACGCTTCCACGCGCTTGATCATGGCCTGAGCCAACTCGGCAACCTCCTTGTCCTCACACTGCACACACCAGTGTCAATGTCTCCATTGAAAGAGGGCGTGTGACAGTTTGTGTCTGTATGCTCGTCTCTCTTACGTCGCAAAGCGCCCGAACCCTCGCCTCAGCCCCTGCAGACCGATAGACCGACGGATGGAGAGACATCCACATGAAGCAGGTGGCCGCGGAGAATACCTGCCCTCTTTACGGCTTCAAGCAGCTCGGGGACGGCCTCACCATCAACCTACACACACACAAAGACAAGGACCGGCTTGCCGTCGCATGTGTTTGTCGTCTGTGTGGATGCGGGGTCTTGTGCGTTGCCCACGTACAACGACAAGGTCTTCCAGGTTGGGGAGGGTCTCAAACTGTGTGTCCCAATTCGACTCCCCATCCGCACCCACAGAATGACTGCACATACACCACACCACACCACACCACACGCACCACCACGCCACATACATACATCACATGACATCACCTTACAGCCCGTGTGTCTCTCCTCTCCTGCAGCATACGGTATGCATAACATACCAGTCCAGCAGCTCCACCAGCGGCTGCACACCCCCCATACGAACAAAGGCGTTCCGGCACTCACAACCTGTGTTTATTGTGCACCCGTCAAGGGAGACAAGAAGAGACATGACATGTACTCTGCCAAATCAATCCGGTCGATGGGCTCGGCTCACTCTGCGAGTAGACATTTCTCAATGTGGAGGCCGTGGCGGCCCTCATGCCCTCTATCGGCGACCTGAGGTGGGGGACCAGCGGGGCGAACCCACCCGCCTTGTATATCGCCATGCAATTCGCTGAGTCTGTCACACACACACACAGGCACAGAAGAGAGAAGGACAGACACACGGACTTTGGTGTGTCATGTGTAGCGTGTAGTTTGGTTACTCTCGACAGTGAGGAAAGACAAGGCCACGACGGCCGCCTGCACACGATCGTCTTCCTGATCATCGATGGGACGGGAGACACGATGAATGTCGGCACAGCACACATCTCTCTCTGCCTTCTCTTTTCCCCCTGCCGTCATCTCATCTTGCCCACCCTCGACGAAAGAAACGCCACGAGCGGCGGGATGGCTCCCGCCTCGCGTATTGTGTCCTTCACGCCCGCTTCTGACAACGACACACTGGATGACCATCCATCCGTCCATCCGTGTGTGTCGCCCTCCCTCCCTCACACTGACTTTCTGTCGACGACGCGAGAATGGCCAGCTGCGTGGCGGCCAGCGCACCGACAGTGGTTGGATCCTGGGCCCACGGATGCATCCTCTCCTCCAACTTGGTTATCTGGATGGACGCCACACACACAGAGAGGCCTGGCGTTATGAATTCGCCTCCCTCTGCCTACCTACCTACCTTTTGGTCAGACTTGAGGAGGCTGACAAACTCGGCATAGTCGTCCGTCTCAAACGCCAAATCAAACCGCTCGCAGTCATCCCCCGGCCTGAACAAGAAAGACACGCCACTAACTCATTCAACGCAACCAACAAATGGCACTTGCATTGCGTGACGCAATCAAGAACAGAAATCGCGACCTTTGTCGGCCTTACTTTGAGTGTTTCTCGCCCCGATGCTTGTCGCCCAGCGGCGGGAGAGCATCGGGGCGCTCACGGGCAGCACGCGCCTTCACTTCCGCATCCTGCACACAACCAACCCACACATACAAGAGAACCAAGCGGAATTCACATGAAAAAACACTAGGGCAGCTCACCGTCCTCTCAGCGCAGCAGCATGCCTGACCCATGGCTGAGGTCACGGGCAGAGGTCGGTTGGTGTATGGGTTTGACGGGCCACCCATTTGCGAGCTAAGCTCGCAGACGATCCCAAGCTTCACAAGGAAAGAGAGGAGTACATCGTCAGCGAGTGTGTCAGCGCGCATCGCGCTCAGCAGATCAGCGCCAGCATCGAATCGCGCAGTCGTGTTGATCTGAGATCCCTTCGGTCGGCGAAGGAAGGGCATTGGAGGGAGCCGAGGCGAGAGGCGGCAAGATGGCGGCCAACCTGGACCAGTTTCATGGAGGTGAGCTGAGGGGAGGGCGGCAGAGTGGCAGATCTGGGCAGTGGAGAGGGTGGGGGAGGGACCTGACGCGCGCAGGGTGTTTGGCCGCTGCTGGGATGGCTGACGTGGCTGTGGATGCACTGGCGGACCTTGGATGATGTGATGTGTCGTTCTGTGTGTGTGGTTGTGTTGTGTGTGGTCAGCTGAGGTTCGTGTGAAGACGACGGATGGCGCTGAGCATCAGGGGCGCATCTTCTGTTACGACGTCACCAACTGCTGTGCGCCCTTCCAGTCTGTCATCCTCCGTGAGCCGACCACTCACGCACACGGACCCGCAGCCAGCCAGACACACAAGGGCCGTCCGTTTGGTGAATGAGTCATTGGGAATGCTGTCTAACTGCAGGTGTGCATCACCCTGAGATGCACACGTGCAACTACGTCTGGCTGGCCACTGAGAACATCACTGAGCTCAAGGCAGTGGAGCCACAGACACCGGTATGGTATGCACACGCCACGCCTCATCGATCCGCTCACTCCTGCGTGTGTCACGTCACGGATCGTCCATCGTTCGTTCAGGAGCCTCCCATTCACCTGGAGAACTTCGACCCGGCCGTGGCTCAGCGCAGGCGCGAGGCGGCACTAAGACACCACCACAGCACGCGCCACCTCAAGGGTGTGGGGGTCGACCCAAAGGGCGAGAAGGTCATCGAGGCACTGGCAAAAATGTGAGGGAGCAAACCACGCCCCTGAGGCAAGACACGCAAGACACACATCTGTGTGTGGGGATGTGGTGTGTGTGTCAGCAATCCCGAGCGCTCTGTTCGTTGGGAGGACAAGACCATCTGTGTGTGGGACGTGCGCATCGACCCCCCCTACCGCCCCGAGGACTGTCGCGGAGGGGAGGCCACAGACATCAGACTCTTGCAGCGAGTCAAACACATGGTACACACCTACCCTACCGCACACAGACCGACGCCACCACTCACTGTGGACGCCGTGTCTCTGTCGCTAGGTGGAGAACATTCACCTCAGGGAGGAGAAGCGCGTCCGCCATCTCACTGAGAAGGGCCATCTGTCGTCCCCCTCCCCCTCCCCGCCCCCCGTCCGCCGCGACCACTCGGCGCCACTCCCCAGCGCCACTCAGGCGGCCTCATCAGCGGCTGGCGGCCTGCTGCCCACTCCATCCCAGCCACGCAACGCGCCAGCACGGTCGGGCGGCAGGGCCCTCCAGCCGGTGCCAGAGGAGGATGAGCACCACCACAACAAGGAGAACAACGTCCCTGGCCCCACCCCTGCTCCCGAGGTGGGGCGCAACGGCCGCAGCAAGCGTCACCCGAGCCACGACAAGAAAGACAAAGACGGCCAGCAGCAGCAGCAGGAGGCCAGCAGCAGCGGGGCGGGTGGGACTGATGGCGGGAAGGCCAGAGGGGGCGACGGCGAGGGGGCCCCGGCTCCCGCATCCAACAGGCCCAAACACGCCTCCTCACGCAGAGGGTGGGAGAAGCAGCAGCCCAACGCTGCTGCATCGGCCGCTGCTGCTGCTGCTGCTGCTGCCGCCGCGGCCTCTGCCGACAAACACGACGGTGAGGACGGGGGGAAGGAGAGGAAGGAGAGGGGCAGTGGCGGCGGGGCTGGTGGGGGCAGTGACGGTGTGGAGGGCGGTACGAGGGACGGGGAGGGGGCCATGGCCACCAATGGGAAAGAGGCGGACGAGGGATGAAGGAAGGGTGAATGCAATGCGTGTGTGTGTGCATGTTCATCGGGGGAGGGAGGGGGAGGGGGTGTACTGTTATGCCTGGATGGATGGATGGACGGATGGATGGATGATCGGTTGGTTGGTTGATGCCTATGGAATGGTCTTGTGTGTGTTGGGTGGGCATTCATTGTGTCGCCGAGGACTTCGCTGAGTGAGGCAAGCGATGCGATCGAGGCACGGCCCGCTTCGATGCACCGCTTGACCTTGTGGCTTCTTCGATGGCATGATGGATGCCCCACACACACTCCGACGCACACTACACTACACGCACATAGACAGACAGACAGACAGACAGCAATAAACAGAGAGTTACCGGACAAGCTCAGAAAAGCGCGCGGCGCGGCAGATCGACATGTTCTTACTCTGTCAGCAAAGCACGACGATTCCTCTTGGCTGGCGGCATAACAGGACTCGACCGTAGTATGTGACCATGCTCTGGTCGACGCCTGCGATGCCGCCGTCCCAGGGGGGTCACCGGCACACTGACAGCCAGACAGTCCTGACCTTCCGAGCACACCACACATACTATTAGCGAGTTGAGTGTCGTGAGGCACTGACTGCCTGCAGTGAGGAGGACACGACGGACCAATGCTCTCGTTCATTCCCTGCATGCTGCATTTGAGCGAGCCAGTGTGTGTGTTGCACTGTCTTTCGTCCCGAGTTCGCAGCCGAGACCACCATGGTGGCCTAAGCTTACTGCGGTCTCGGGGGCGACGAAAGGCCATGCAGCCAGCCAGCTGATGGATGGATGGAGAGGAGACGACAGAGGATTGTCGTGTGCCGTGCTGTGCCGTGTCAGCCAGCTGCCTGTGTGGACCAGACCAACCCGTGTGAGTGCGTCGTATGTATGGCCATATGGGCGTAGGCAATCAATCGCGCCATCGGAATGAATCATTATGGAGCGTTACGCTCCATAATTAGTGGATCGTTACGCTCAGCACCAGGGAGGGCTGTTTGTTTGTTGGTACCACTGCACAGCACTCACAAATACCCACACCAGGTCTCCTTGCCACAAAGAGAGCGCCCGGCCCGCAGACACTCACTCACGCACACTCGCACACACAGAGCTGCACAGGTGTCTCTCTGTAACACACACACACACACCGACATGGTGGCTGGCCTTGCAGAGCGGTGGAAAGGATGTGTGTGTGTGTGTGCCTTCCCTTGTCGTGTGGTGTGGTGTGTGCCTCGGCCTTTTCTACGTGGGCGGACGTGCTCGTGTGTATGTCAGACGTGACACGCATCAGCCAGACCGAACAAACCAACCAACAAACAGCGGTCCAAACAGAACCAGGGGAAAAAGGGCCTCGATTATCTCTCTTGGGGCGAGGCAAAGGAAAGGCACTCACACACACTCACACACACACACACGGACGCACACACGCATCCATTCCATTCAATCACACACACAACCATCCCTGCCATGCATGTGGCTCCCTCGCTCTCCCTCTCCCTTGTCTGTCTATGGTGTGTATCGATGCAGTAAGTCAGGTGCGGAAGAGCCGCATCTGGGGCGGCGTGCCGCCCTCACCCTGCTCTACTACATCCCCTCCTTCTTTGTCCCCCCAGCTGTCCACGGGCTTGTCCTCCTCCCCCACCACCGGCAGCCGCTGCTTCTTGCTGGCCGCCCTCTTCTTCGCCCCACTACTGCCGCTGCCACCCCGATTGGCCGCCACACCCCCTCCCCTGCCCCCGCTCCGCTGGCGGAGCCTCTTCAGGCGACTCACAGACACAGACACCGCCTCCTTCTTGGGGGTGCCCTCGTTGTCGCTTCGCGTGTTGGGCGGGGCCACCGTTGTGTTGCCCTCGTTGTCCGCTGGTGTAAGCGGGGGCGTGCCTGACTCGCTCTCGCTGGCGCCCTTGCCCTTGCCCTTGCCCTTGGCACCCGCCTTGATGTGCTCCTCGTCTGAGCCGCTCTGCTGCATGTCGACGTCCATGTCAACGGGGCCGTTGTGGCCGCCGTCCGCCCCCTCCTCGGGCAGCCCGAACAGCTTGCCCTTGAAGTTGGCGAACAGACTGGCAAACGGGTCGTCTGCAGGTGGAGTGTCGTCAACCGCACCACTGGTGCTGCCGCTGCTGCCGCTGCCGGCCAGCGCCTCCCCTCCCGCCTCACTCTCAAGCCGTGACACGCCACGCTTGGAGCGACACACGCGGGAGGGGCAGGAGGGAGCGGACGGCAGGGGTGTCTTCTTGATGGGGTTGCGTGCGTGGGAATTCTTCTTGGTGCGATTCTTCTTGCGGCGGGGTGAAGGGGGCTGTGGGGCGTCGGGGAGGTTGCGAGCCGGGACGGTGCGGGGGTTGGGAGGTGACTGCATGGACGCAGAGAAAGAGGGGACCGAGTGCATGTGTGTGTGGCGGATGTTGTCTTATAAAGTAGAGGTAGAGGGGGGGAGGGGGAGGGGGAGGGGGGTGGCTGCTTACGGCGAGTTCCTTCATCATGTCCCAGAAGAGTTCGTCTCCCATGGGGTCGATCACCGTCTGAAACATCCCCGCCAACGTCTCCAACTCCTGCACACAGTAGGCAGCGGAGGCAGAACACACGCACACACACACACACACACACGAGACACGGATGCTATGTGGGTTTATGTGGTGTGGTTTGGTTTGGTGGGGTACTGCGTGGTGTCGGACCTGTGTGAGTTTCTTGATGTCAGGCATCTGGATGAACTGGACGTAGCGCTTCTGCAGCTCGCCACTCTTGGACCTGCACCAACACCACACACACACACACACAGAGAGAGAGAGAGAGAGACATAGAGACGTACAAACGGTGTCATGTCATGACAGAGCTGGTCGGTCGAGAGAAAGGTCTCTCCTCTCTCTCCCGCCCTCCCTCTCTCTCTCTCACACTTGCACGTAGTCTTCGAGTGCGGACATGTCAGTGGGGCTGTCGCCGATCGTGACGCACATACCCAGGTCCATGTCCTCAGAGTACTTGTCTAACTCGTCGCGAAAGGTGTGCACCTGCACACACCAACCACACACACACACAGAGACCCCCCAGCCATGGGATGTGCGCTGGTGTGGTGGGAGGGTGGGTGAGTTGGCGGACGGACCTTCCACACGAGTGAGCCGCCGCTCTCTGTTGGGTACTGGTGCTCATATCGCTCGCGGGCCGATGTCGCCTCCACCTGGTGGCTGTCCATCAGCGCCTTGAGCCGAGGCATCACGCCTGACGACATCCTATCACCCAACACACACACACGGAGAGAGAGTGTATGTGTCTGTCTGTGCGTCCGTGTGTGTGGTGACTCGACGTGGCCATGATGGCTTATGGCTTACTTGAACCAGAACATCTCGGCGTTGGTCACTATTATCACGGGCCCAGCCCTGAGGGCACCCTCCATGGCGCGCACCGCGGCACTCTCCAACTCCTCCAACTCCATCCATCCATCCGTCCATCCGTCCATCCGTCCATCCGTCCATCCGTCCATCCGTCCGTCCGTCCGTCCGTCCGTCCGTCCGTCCGTCCGTCCACACACACACCCAGAACAGCCAGCTATACATTCACCGCCTGCAATGGCCGGCAATGCATGGCCACCTATGGCCGCAGTGGTCACACCAACGTACCTACCTACCAGTTTGCCCTTCTTGCCCGTCCGCAGGCGATCCAGCCGCTTCTGCACTTGTTTGATCTCCATCGACTGGCCATTCTTGGTCACCTCGTAAGTGCTGAACAGCGTGTCATCCTGCAACCGTCCACACACGCGCAGGCATTTGAGGCATTTACGAGGTAGATGCATCCTTCCGCCGGTGTGCATGGCTGCCTTTCTCACCCAATCGAACACGGTCACGGTGCGGAGGGCTCGTGCTGCGCCTGGGCCGTCGTCGGGGAAGTGCTGCGGCCCCTCATGGCCGCTCCGCTCTGCAATGATGGAGGACGACATCGATATGTGGTCGATGCTATGCTGCAGGGTCAATGGGCCGACTCAGTCAACGCATGCGATGGACGGGTGGACTACAAAGCCTTTAGGAACCTCAAAATGGCTGCCATTTGAGTGCGCCGACTCCCCCTTCAAACACATTGTGACCCCAAGCTTAGCGCAGCGGATTCACATATTTTCACTCGTGAGCGAAAAAGGCCGGTGAGGACCTTTCCTGTAGTTAGCTGAATAGAGGATCTGCTGGGCGGTAAGTCCCAGAGTAAGAGTGCTTTTACTTTAATAAGACC